GACCAAATTACAGTATACTCATCGCGTCATCGACAAGGGTCTTATTGTCCTGCACAAACCAAAAACGCTCCTATGAGCGATTACAAAGAGTAAATCATTTGAATTATGTTACTAGAGGCATATAATAGGGACACTTGACAAGAAAGCCGACACACCAAATTCAGTCCGGGATCCCTACGACTACAACGGAACGAGATTCGGGATGTGTATGACGAGCTATTTGTTTCAGACTATGAAGCTAGTAAATATGATGGATTTTAAATGTATATGATGATTTTTTATTTAACAACTTTCACTGATTTAACACCATACTGGTATATATGGATTTGGGTGAAATATTTTAAAAAATATACAACAACTGTTTCGAGATTGGCGACACCATCTACCTTCGCTGAACCACATCATTAAGGTATTTGTATGGAATCTTGCAGTGACTTTGTATTTTTAAATTTGTATCTGGCCTATAAGGCAACTCCTGGTTTTGAGATGATTCAAGTGTTGTTCTACACGCCACAATATATGGCATATGATATTTACAAGAGTTCCAGATTTAAAATGAATGACAATGCAGATTACTCCCATTTCCCAAATTTTAATGATTGAGAACTAACAATGAGGGAGCTGTCTAAACTGGAAATGAATGTCATATCGGTAACATGATTATCACAACCTATTCTTTCTAACAAAAAAAGTGTAATATTTAATTCAGACATACTGTAGTTTGTCTCAAAAAAGTAATAAATTTATCAATTGAAGTCCACTGGTTAAGCATGTATTTACAATCTATTTCACTTCTAAAATAACTAATGGCTTTGTTCAATGCCCCAATGTCCATAAAAATCCCCCCCTTCTCCACTAGCAACAGACATTAGGATTTTCAAACTAACCTAGATTATTTCAGTAGCACAATTTTAACCGGCCATGAATAGTTCCTTCGATATTCTTCAAGTAGTAACAACTGAAAAGAATAATAATCATTAAAATCCCATAGTGCATGGTATTTACTCTTTCTAATATTCTGCCTCAGTTATGATATATTTTCATTTCTTCAAATAATGTAGGTAATAATTCATCATGCTATATACACTTAATTTCAATTAATTTTTTTTAAGAACCTGAACATTAAACAACCAAATGCACCACTACTTACCTAGATAGTTTTTGCAGGGCTTCCTTCATCTCATTTCATATCCCCCTGTGAATACATCTAAATGTTAATACATGGAGGATGTTTAACTTAAATGTTTGCAACATGGTAACTAACAAGAGTATTTAAAACACCTTCTATGAGTTATTCAGACAAATGCCTCAAAAACATCTTAAAACCAACATCTTCCAATGGGAAGTGAAGCAGTACCACAGAACGTGGCAACAAACATCAACAAACCCAAATTCAGATGCAGTTCAGACTCGTCATCGTATCATCATTATATCACAAAATCTCGGGAAACCATTGGGGAGTTCCAGCTCGTCCTAACCAACAGGGAAAGGGAGGGACATACCAACAAAGACAAATACAGGTATACCTCTGGTCTGATTAGACAACTGTACAGTATTCAGTGAGCAAGTGTCCTTTTCATAAGCTTTTTAATTTAACCATTTCTTAAAATGTGTACTGAACTAGCATGATTTTTATCCTCTTCTTAAAACCCTCCAGTATCCTTGTTAATGATAGTATATAATTAACAAAAAAGTTTAAGTAAATGAATGTAGGTTGCGAGGTGCTACACACTTATATGAAGACAAGACCCACACCAAGAGGCTGAGACAGTGAGACACGTGCCACTTGATAACCATAGACGTTCAATCGCAAGTACAAACACAAACTATCAGGACTGATGCTGGATTTTATAAGTTTTCTTTTTTAATATTTCTGGTGACTAGAGGAGCAGTACAGAGCACCTCAGAGTTCCCCCTAAAAAAAAGAAAGTTAGGGTGAATTCCAACCTTCGGATAAGTCGAAGCCCAATTTGCAGGCTAAATATCATATCTGTGGTAAAAGGCTCCCCTCCCCCATTACCAAACCATCTGTGGCAAAGTTTAGGTCTAAGACCACCAAACTACCAATACATTGATATGTTAATGTATTAAATACATTGAACATTTAACATATAACGAGTGTTATCGCCACGCGCAATTGTACGAGCTGGCCACATATTAAGTGAAGAGACTCTTCACACCTTAGAATAGCCTACTAAGCAAGATGGAGCTGGTAGCAGCTGTGTGACCGCCTGATGGGCAGTCTATCGCCTTCTACTGTAGAAGCAACATCTTGATTCTCGTCAGCCAACATCTTCCTGCAGGATATTACATTGGTTCTCATTGGTCATTGTGAACTGTTGAATCCTCTGAGAACTTCACGTAACTTTAATAAGTGTAATTATTTACTGAATATTGATCATATTATTTAATGAGCGTGTCCTGATGTATCAGCAGTTGTTACATGTGAAATGTATTCAACAGGTTTTGACCAAATTACAGTATACTCATCGCGTCATCGACAAGGGTCTTATTGTCCTGCACAAACCAAAAACGCTCCTATGAGCAATTACAAAGAGTAAATCATTTGAATTATGTTACTAGAGGCATATAATAGGGACACTTGACAAGAAAGCCGACACATCAAATTCAGTCCAGGATCCCTACGACTACAACGGAACGAGATTCGGGATGTGTATGACGAGCTATTTGTTTCAGACTATGAAGCTAGTAAATATGATGGATTTTAAATGTATATGATGATTTTTTATTTAACAACTTTCACTGATTTAACACCATACTGGTATATATTGATTTGGGTGAAATATTGTAAAAAATATACAACAACTGTTTCGAGATTGGCGACACCACCTACCTTCGCTGAACCACATCATTAAGGTATTTGTATGGAATCTTGAAGTGACTTTGTATTTTTAAATTTGTATCTGGCCTATAAGGCAACTCCTGGTTTTGAGATGATTCAAGTGTTGTTCTACACACCACAATATATGGCATATGATATTTACAAGAGTTCCAGATTTAAAATGAATGACAATGCTGATTAGTCCCATTTCCCAAATATAATGATTGAGAACTAACAATGAGGGAGCTGTCTAAACTGGAAATGAATGTCATATCGGTAACATGATTATCACAACCTATTCTTCCTAACAAAAAAAGTGTAATATTTAATTCAGACATACTGTAGTTTGTCTCGAAAAACTAATAAATTTATTAATTGAAGTTGATGTCCACTGGTTAAGCATGTATTTACAATCTATTTCACTTCTAAAATAACTAATGGCTTTGTTTAATGCCCCAATGTCCATAAAAATCCCCCCCTTCTCCACTAGCAACAGACATTAGGATTTTCAAACTAACCTAGATTATTTCAGTAGCACAATTTTAACCGGCCATGAATAGTTCCTTCGATATTCTTCAAGTAGTAACAACTGAAAAGAATAATAATCATTAAAATCCCATAGTGCATGGTATTTACTCTTTCTAATATTCTGCCTCAGTTATGATATATTTTCATTTCTTCAAATAATGTAGGTAATAATTCATCATGCTATATACACTTAATTTCAATTAATTTTTTTTTAAGAACCTGAACATTAAACAACCAAATGCACCACTACTTACCTAGATAGTTTTTGCAGGGCTTCCTTCATCTCATTTCATATCCCCCTGTGAATACATCTAAATGTTAATACATGGAGGTTTAACTTAAATGTTTGCAACATGGTAACTAACAAGAGTATTTAAAACACCTTCTATGAGTTATTCAGACAAATGCCTCAAAAACATCTTAAAACCAACAACTTCCAATGGGACGTGAAGCAGTACCACAGAACGTGGCAACAAACATCAACAAACCCAAATTCAGATGCAGTTCAGACTCGTCATCGTATCATCATTATATCACAAAATCTCGGGAAACCACTGGGGAGTTGCAGCTCGTCCTAACCAACAGGGAAAGGGAGGGACATGCCAACAAAGACAAATACAGGTATACCTCTGGTCTGATTAGACCACTGTACAGTATTCAGTGAGCAAGTGTCCTTTTCATAAGCTTTTTAATTTAACCATTTCTTAAAATGTGTACTGAACTCGCATGATTTTTATCCTCTTCTTAAAACCTTCCAGTATCCTTGGTAATGATAGTATATACTTCACAAAAAAGTTTAAGTATATGAATGTAGGTTGCGAGGTGCTACACACTTATATGAAGACAAGACCCAAACCAAGAGGCTGAGACAGTGAGACACGTGCTACTTGATAACCACAGACGTTCAATCACCACGGCCTCATCTGCAAATTTGGTAAGAAGCTTCTACATCATCCTCGACACCGGCTCCTACTACCACCTGAGATCCCTAGCCCGAGAATTGCTGTTCGACACCACAACCGCATCCTGCCCATACGTGCACGAACTGATCACTATAAGAACAGCCCAGTCCCAACCATTGTAAAAATTATCAATAACTTGTAATAAACCAGTGTACAGTACTCCCTCTTTATCGACGGGGGTTACGTTCTGTAAACGGCCGTCGATAAAGAAACCGTCGATACCGTGATGGTTACGTAATTTTTCTAACTATTATTAGCATATGTTGAATAAATGTACCTTTAAGCATTAATGCGTTTCCTTTACACATAACCTTAAATAATAGTGTATAAATAATAATATAAGTGGACAAAAATACTAGCAAACTTACGATTTCATTTATTGAAGTGAATATCGGTCCTTACAGTAAACAATACAGTGTACAGTACAGTAAAAGTCCAAAAATCCGGATGCCCAAGGCAAATTGTTTACCATTTATTATTACAACACTTTACACTGAAACGCGGGTAGTTTCAACAAAAATATTGTATATTTCCATTCAAGTATTTATTCAAGTCAATTAGGAGGGAATATTATTGTAATACAACAGTTTTTTAACTAAATCATTCGAAAAGTGATTACGGTAACATCTTTTGAACGAAAGAAAGTGAGTCATTGTTTTCGTCACGATTTGATCCCACTTTCCACTTTAATACGTACGTCATTTCAACAAAAATATTACATTTCCGTGAATGTATTATATCAAGCACAGTATGAATAGAATATCATTGTAATATAACAGAATTTTAACCGAAAACTATTAAAAAAACGAGTAACATCTCAAGAACATCGGAAGCTTAGGTAAAGTCTTTTGTTTCCGTCATGTATTTTATCCTATTTTACATTTAAATACATCACGTTTCAACAAAACTACTATTTATTTCCGAGAATATATTCATTCAGGCGCAGTTTAGGTAAAATATACGTGTGATGTAATAATTTTTTAACTGAAAATGATTCGAAAAACACGTACCCTCTAGCCCTGTTCAAGGAGAGGACTGGGAGAAGCTGTTTGGTGCCAAAATAAAAATCCGGCTAAATAATCCGTCGATAATCGAAACCGTCGATAAAAAATCCGTCGATAAAGAGGGAGTACTGTATTCACTCCCAGTAAACACTACTCCTTGCACTGTCACTATGTTGAAATGAACTGTAGTTTGAGCTTTCTCCCCATATAGTTATTATATATCTTATTTGTTATTTGTATCACTTATGTTACTTGTATATTATTTGTAATTCGAAACCCATTCCCCAAATATGCAACTGTATATTTTCAGCCTTCTGGCTGCCAAGCTCTTTCAATAAACCGTTAATTATTATTATTATTATTAAACTATCAGGACTGATGCTGGGTTTTATAAATTTTCATTTTTAATATTTCTGGTGACTAGAGGAGCAGTACAGAGCACCTCAGAGTTCCCCCCTCCCTAAAAAAAAAAGAAAATTAGGGTGAATTCCAACCTTCGGATAAGTCGAAGCCCAATTTTCAGGCTAAATTTCATATCTGTGGTAAAAGGCTCCCCCCCCCATTACCAAACCATCTGTGACAAAGTTTAGGTCTAAGACCACCAAACTACCAATACATTGATATGTTAATGTATTAAATACATTGAACGTTTAACATATACGAGTGTTATCGCCAGGCGCAATTGTGCGAGCCGGCCACATATTAAGTGAAGAGACTCTTCACACCTTAGAATAGCCTACTAAGCAAGATGGAGCTGGTAGCAGCTGTGTGACCGCCTGATGGGCAGTCTATCGCCTTCTACTGTAGAAGCAACATCTTGATTCTCGTCAGCCAACATCTTCCTGCAGGACATTACATTTGTTCTCATTGGTCAAACCCTAGACCCAAAAACGTGAGCGTCATTGTGAACTGTTGAATCCTCTGAGAACTTTATGTAACTTTAATAAGTGTAATTATTTACTGAATATTGATCATATTATTTAATGAGCGTGTCCTGATGTATCAGCAGTTGTTACATGTGTAATGTATTCAAAAGGTTTTG